CCGCCCCCCCGCCCACGCCGCCGCCCCCGACGGGCCGGGACCATGGCGAAAGTGGAGCAGGTCCTGAGCCTTGAGCCGCAGCACGAGCTCAAGTTCCGAGGTAAGCCGGCCGCGGGGCCTCGGCGCGGCAGCCCGCCCGACGGCGCGGCCCCCTGTCACTCCGCGCCTGCGTCAGCCCTGCGCCTGGTCACCGCCTCCGCGCGCAGGAAGGGATGCGCTCTGCGGGCAGGACGCGGTCCGCTGCTGCCAGAGCATACGGCAGGCATCTAATGCTTGCGCTGAGCCCGGAGCTGCTGGAGCTGTGGCCCCAGGAAGCTTGGTCCACGCTGAACATGCATGCACATCTACACCATACAGAATGTGTATGCATCATACCTACGTGTATCCACGTGCACTTTGTACATACAAGCATTGCACACTCAATACATGCCACGTGTACTTTGTACATATAAGCATGCACACTGAATAAAAGGTTCATTTATACATGTATCTACACATCAGATGTAGCTGTTACCTGTCGGGCATGCATACTTGTATGTATCTGTATCTGTTAGTAGTTTCCTTGTCACCAAGTTGAAGGCTGTGAGGCCACAGGGCCGTGTCCAGCGGACTCACTGCTTTGCGCGTTTGGAGGAACCGTAGTGATCAGGAGGCCTTTAGAGCTCATCTAACTCACAAACTAGTGAGCAAATGCTTACAGGTGCTGGGAAGTGTGCGGATGAAATTGCCCACACTGATGAGCTGGAGCTGTGCGGGACTGAAGTGTGCAGTGGACTGGCTGTCAACGATGGCCACGTAGGCAGCAGGCCCTTACCCAACTTTCGTCGAATAGATGCTGGCAAGAGAATGGTTGCTCTGTGCTTACAAAGTAATGTAGGGTCAGCCTGCGCAGACTTACCATTTGCGTGCAGACCGTTTGAACTCTGATTTCAGAAGTTTGCTCACTTAACCATTGCACCCACAGATTCTTGGGAAATGCCTTAGGACTGTGTTTATTCTGCCTCCCAGAGTCCCCGTGTGCAATGACTGTGTGCTCAAGGAAGAGGAGGCTGTCCCATTAAGACAAAAACCGCACAGGAAGCCTAACATGGGGCTTAGGGGGAGAGGTGCTCACTGCCAAGCCTGATGTCCTGACTTCTATCCTGATCCACATGGTGGAAGGAGAGAGCTGACTCCTACAAGGTGTCCTCTGACCTCTACATGTGCATCCCAGCACATGTGTGCACACACACAAATTAAAGAGGGTAAAAAAATCCCTCTAAAACTTCTGGTTGCAGGGCAGCACAGAAGTCAGTTACCAGGGTTGCTAGGCATTGGGTAGCAACTGTTTACAGTTTTGAATCTGGGCCTCTCCCAGGTTAACAGTGTTATTTGAGCCTCTCTATGACTGCACTACAGTGAGAGGCGTCTCCCAGTTGGTCACAGCCACAGCCATGACTGTACCTCTGCAGTGCAGTGTTGGTGCTGTTGTGTTTTGTTTTTGCATCCCATTTTGTCTACAAAGTGTCATCTGTATGTGCAGGTTTTCAGCTTGTATCTTTATTTAGAGCGTGCGTGTTATGTGTGTGTTTATGGCTTGGACAGAAGCCACAGCACACCTGTGGGTCGGAGAACTTGCAGTACTCAGTTCTCTTATTCCACCTTTTGGGCAGGCCCAAAGAGATCAAGTGCAGGCCATCAAGCTTGCATAGCCAACACTTTTGTCCCCTGAGCCATCTCCCTGGCCATGCTTTTTGAGGTAAGGTCTCATGTAGCCCAGACTGGCTCCAAACGTATAGTTCAGGCAGGCCTCAAACTTGAGGTGATTCTCCTGCCTCTGTTTCCTGAATGCTGGGATTACAGGCCCGGTCCAACATTTATTTGAATAGCAGGTTATTATAAAACAGACTTTTTATTGGATGATTCAGTGCACATGTAGACCAATGAAAGCCTCTAGAGAACCTTTAGGTAGGTGAGGCCGAGCTGCAAGTTTCAGGTTTAGGTGGATTAAATGTATTTTATTTTGTTTTTAAGCTTTTTAAAATTTATTTTGGTTTCTTGAGACAGGCCCTCACTATGTAGTCCTTGCTGCCCTAAAATTGACTGTGTAGAGCAGGCTGGCCTTGAACTCACAGAGGTCTGCCTGCCTCTGCCTCCCAAGTGCTCGGATTAAAAGGGTGCACCTCCAGGCCTGCCTAAAATTTATTTTTTCTTATTTTATGTGTATGAGTGTTTTGCTTGCATGTATGCATGTGTGCCATGTGCATGCCTGGCACTCTCAGAGGCCAGAAGAGGCTTGGATCCCCGGAACTGGAGTTACAGGTGGTTTTAAGCTGCCATATAGGTGCTGGGAACTGGATCTGGGTCTTCTACAAGAGCAGCCAGCGAATGCTCTTAACCTCTGAACCTTCTCCAGCCCTGGATCAAACGCATTTTGATTTAAACAGTGTTTTCACTTTAGAAAGAGTTTTATCAGGATATATCCTAATTGAGGGACTTCTTGATCTTGTGTAATAGTGTCAGGGACTTCTGTGGATGAGCCGACTGGGAAAGGAATCCAAGTAGCCAGCCAGAGTGAGTGTTGTTAAGCCCATGGTGCTTGCTGGAGTTGCCTGAAGTACTCCACCCAGGAAGCCTAGCCTGGCTTCTCCTGTGGCTTGGTGTATGAATCCAGCTGTTCCTTAGCCTCATGCCGGATCCCAGGAGACCTCAAACCCCATCAGTTGTATTCCCCTTTCTCCCTCAACACCCACCCTGTCCTCTGTCCAGGGAAGGGGCAGGTGAGATTAGCAGACAGTGGGGAAACAAGGCACCCTGGAGTGCTCCCAGAGCATTGGGGAAGGCAGCGTCTGACAGTGTCACCTGAGCTGCTTACAGATGTCCAATGACAGCCGTGGAAATGGGCGGGAGGGTTTCAGGGTGGGGAATTGGCAGACTCGGGCCCCAAGGCTGAGGTACTTGTCCCTTGGGTTTGCCACCATATGACAACAGGGAGAGTTTGGTTGTAGGTGCAGGGCAGAGTTGGAGACAAGACTGACCAGTGCACTGGAGTCAGATCTACCTGCTGAGGCCAAGTTCAAGTTGTGTTGTTTCCACATAAGGTGCTTCCTTGGACTGACAGCCCCAGGACACGCTCTGCTGTGTTGATTGAGGAGGAGATTCTGGGACGGAAGCTCCGAGTTCCTATTGTTCTTGCAGATGTGCGACCTTGGGCTGCTACTCCTGTCCCTCAGCCTGGGGTCATCCCTGAGTTGATGGGTGCCTCCTGTGGAGGTCCTGCTGCTGCTGTGTGAGAAGGTGGCATTTAGGCTTTCAGCCTGCTCTGTGAGTGATGAATAGACCTTTGCGGAGATTGGTGATATGTTTGACAGCTGACTGAGCCTCGCTACCTGAAAAGATGGGAGACCAAGCTCTGGCCAACATCATGGTGAGTTCTGTGGCCAGCATCATGGTGAACTCTGTGGCCGGCATCACCATGAGCTCTGTGGCCAGCATCATGGTGAGCTCTGTGGCCGGCATCACCATGAGCTCTGTGGCCAGAATCACCGTGAGCTCTGGCCGGCATCACCGTGAGCTCCGTGGTGGGCATCACCGTGAGCTCTGTGGCCGGCATCTCTGTGAGCTCTGTGGCCAGCATCACCGTGAGCTCTCTGGCCGGCATCACCGTGAGCTCTGTGGCCGGCATCACGGTGAGCTCTGTGGCCGGCATCACCATGAGCTCTGTGGCCGGAATCACCGTGAGCTCTCTGGCCGGCATCACTATGAGCTCTGTGGCCAGCATCACTGATCAGTTTTGCCAGGGGATGTTTCAGAAGTAGGGATGTTGACATGTCTTCACTTTACAGGAGGCATAGGTGTATGTGGAACTCTTTATGGGGTGTTGTCTTGTGTCTCTTTGGTGTTGGGTCTGACTGAGGCCTTGTGAGTGCGGAACAGGTGCCCTTGGTTGTATTCCTAGCCCTTGTCTTTTGAGGTAGAATCTTACTGTACTGTCTCGAACCGGCCTGAAACCAGCAGTCATATTGTCTGTCTCCCCAGTTGCTGGGATTGTTGGTGGCTCCGTCATGCCTAGCTTGGGTATTTGTTTCTTGGTTAGCTTGCTTAACCTGAGTGCTAAGACAGTGAAATGAAAGACTTGGTACCCAGACTCACTGTACTGAGATAATTTAATTTTTAAAAAATTAAAAAAAATTTTATGTGTGGGTGTATTGCCTGCATGTAAGTGAGTGCACCCGTGTCATGCAATACCACAGAGGTCAGAAGAGGGCTTTGGATTCCCTTGGAACTAGAGTTAAGGACAGTTCATAGCCGCCATGTAGGTGCTGGGGATCAAACCCAGATCCACTGCAAAAGCAGTCAGTGCTCTTAACTGCTGAGCCATCTCTCCAGTCCCCCAGCCATCTTTTAATGAGGTTTAAGATGATGGTAAGGGATTGCATTCTTGCCATATCTTGGGAATTTCGTGTGATGTGATATATGAACTTTATGCTACAGGCTGGGTATGGTGACACATGCCTTTATCTAAGAACACAGGAGACCTAAGCAAGAAGATTGTGTTAAAGATAACTAGGACTACACCTCAGGGACACTGTCCTAGTTTGCTTTCAATTGCTATGACAAAACACTCTGACCAGTACCAGTTTGGGGAGGAAAGGGCTTATTTGGCTTATATCTCCTGGGTCACAGTTTGTCACTGAGGGAGCCCAAGGTAGGTACTTAGGGCAGGAACCTGGAGGCAGGAGCTGAAGTACAGGCAATGGAGGAATGCTGCTTACTGGCTTGCTCTCCTGGCCAGTCAGTGCTCAGCCTGCTTTCTTACACAATGTAGGACAGTCTGCCCAGGGGCGGCACCACCCACAGTGAGCTGGGCTCTCCCATGTCACTCGACAGTCAAGAAAATGCCCCACAGACATGGCCACAGGCCAATCCAATGGAGGCAGTTCCTCAATTGAGGCCCCTCTACCCAGGTGTGTCAAGTTGGCAACTAAAATTATCCAGTACGGTTGACTCTTGTCAACTGACACACAAACACATCACTTTAAACCACAACCTTTCCATTTCTTGTCCCCAAGATATGATGTGATATTAATATCACAACATAAGACAGTACAATCTTAGAAG